GTCAAGACTCTTTGGGTGTGGGTGTATGAACCAAAATGCACCTTGCTGTGTGCTTAGTGTCCCAGTGAAGACACTGTGGGTGTAGATGTCTTGGCATGGGTGCATATTCTACTAGTTCAAGCCTACAGTCTGTAGAACCCAGGGGATGCTGTTGCTTGCACTTTCCCTCGTTTATTCCTGGCGACCATGTTGCCATAATCAGGAATAATATGTACATATAACAGAATTTCTGACAGTTGCACACAACCTCATGAATGATGCTAGCCTTTATCATTGGTTAACCCCATGTGGCCATGTTATTATGTCAGTTTGGACTCAGCAGTGTCAGTGTTTGTTAGGGTATCAGTCAGTATTAACTCTTTTGCTTTCAACAATGAGAATTAGGCAGTGCTGTGGAGGTACAGTGCTTTATCTGCACAGGTCGTACTTGGAATGCTTGAAATGCCTGTTAAGCTAGTTGTGACTTGCTGAATAACTCACAAGCCTTCACTTTAAGAACATGGTTGACACATGCACAAGTGTGACGTGGCTACATTTGTGGCATCTGTGTATTAATTAGTCAACACTTCCCAATTGTTAACTGCTGTGATGTGGGATATGATGTTATAACACCTGAGGGACTCATATCGCTCTCAGTGAGGGCGCTCTGCATCCTGAGGTTTGATAGAAACATCACAGCAGTTATACCTCTGTTGTGAATTCTTTGCAATATTTTTTCCACACGAAGTGTTCTTCACTTCAGTTGAAATGACGAGGGTCTTGACCTGTTGTACGAAGCTCACAGACTCAATACGTCGTTTGAATTGTAATGTTTGCTCATTACTACCATACTACCCTTGTTTCACGTTGCTTTATCTTTACCTCTTATTAGGAACATTGTGTGTAATGGCTTCAAGAGACAGATGATCTTACCAGACAGTGATTGTTATGACTGTACCCTATGTGCTTGCGTTGCCGATGTAGACTGGGATGCTGAGAACGAGATACTCATTGGAACCTACGGTCAGGTAGGAGCAGTGGCCTGGTTCTCATACTCTCTTACAACCCAAAACAGGTCTATGACTGATTACGATACTCATCAGAACCTGTGGTCAGGTTGGAGCAGTGGCCTTGTTCTCATACTCTGTTACAACCCAAAACAGGTC